CCGGGGTGCCGAGCAGATCCAGCCCACAGCCCCGGGGTGCCAGGACCCGACCCAACCCGCAACCCCGGGACCAGCCCCAGCCCAGACCCCCGGGGTGCCTCTCTGGACTCCACCCAGAGCCCTGGGGCACCAATACCAGACCCTAACCGCAGCCCTGGGGTGCGAGGACCCAACCCCACCCAGCCTAGAACCCCAGGGTGCCCCCACTGGACCTAACCCGCAGCCCTGCTGTGCCCCCACTGGACCCCACCCACTGCGCCATTGTGCCTGGACTGGACCTGACCCAGCACCCCAAGGTGCTGGAGCCAGGGGCCCAGCCAGACCCAACCCTCCTGCCCCCACCAGCACCAGACTGGGACTGGACCCACTGGGACCCCAAATGCTGACCCTACCATACTCCCCTCCTCCCCGGCCAGCCTCACCCCAGCACCCACCTGGCTCCTCCATGCTCAGTCCCAGCCCCAAATCCACCAGCTTGGAGAGGATGAGCCCAGACAAGCCAGCCCAGCAGCAGGGATTTGCCAAAAACAGGGCATCAGCCCCAGAGCTGCGGCTTGCAAGGGCAGAGGGGAGACCCAGCACCAGTTACCCCCAGCAAAAGGCAGCTTTGGAGGGAGGAAGGGAGGCTTGGGCAGAATTCCCACCCACAGGAACCACGGGGAGGGAGAAAGGGTCTGTGCACCATTTTGTGCGTAGAAAGCCAAGCTCTGGGGAGCCATGGGGTGAATTAGGGCTCTGTTCGGCCACGCTGGGAGACAGGGGCAGGTCTGGGTGCTGGGAAGGGAGCTCACCCCGTGGCAGTGACCTGAGGTCCCCCCAGACACCCCATGGCCTGGCAGCCACCGCAGCCATCGCAAGCTGCAGGGGGACCTGGCCAGGCTGGATCCATGGGCCCAGCCCAACTGGGTGAGGTTCAACAAGGCCAAGGGCCGGGTCCTGCCCTGGGGTCACAACAACCCCATGCAACGCAACAGGCATAGGGCCGAGGCTGCCCGGCGGAAAAGGACCTGGGGGTGTTGGTCAACAGGGGGCTGAATAGGAGCCAGCAGGGTGCCCAGGTGGCCAAGAGGGCCAAGGGCATCCTGGCTTGTATCGGGAGTGGTGTGGCCAGCAGGAGCAGGGCAGGGACCGTGCCCCTGTGCTGGGCACTGGGGGGGCCGCCCCTCGCATGCTGGGGGAAGAATGTGTTGCTGTAACTGGAGTATTCTTACACTGTAGTTCTTCCATGTAATTTCTGGTGGGATTTTGCAAGACTAAAAAAAAAATAATAAAAAAATCAAACAATTGCTCTCTAACGGGATATAATTTCTATCAGACACAGTATTTCTATTTGTGTGGAAGAAAAGTTTATCGATCTGGCATGTGTTTTCCTAAACAAATAAGTATTTATTTATTCAGCCTGGAGAAGAGGAGGCTGAGGGGAGCCCTTACTGCTCCCTCCAACTGCCTGACAGGAGGGGGGAGCCGGGGGGAGGAGGGGGGTGTGGGGGTCAGGCTCTGCTCCCAGGGAACGGGCGATGGGACGAGGGAAAACGGCCTCAAGTTGTGCCAGGGCAGGTTTAGGTTGGACATTGGGAAAAATTCCTTCCCTGCAAGGGTTGTCAAGCCCTGGAAGGGGCTGCCCATGGCAGGGGTTGAGTCCCCATCCCTGGGAGTATTTAAAAGCCAGGCAGCCGAGGTGCTTAGGGCCAGGGTTTAGTGGTGGGATGGCAGGGTTAGGGGAATGGTTAGGCTTGGTGAGCTTAAAGGGCTTTCCCAACCCAAACGATTCTGTAAGCTGGAGTTTGGAGGAAACAGTTGACAGTGGCGGGATGGCAGCGGGTCCCTTCCCAGGACCCTCCCCAGCACCTGCCCCCAGGCCCAGAGCACCCTGGGGAGAGGGGCCTGGGTGCCTCCCCAAAGCTGACACTGCTGCAGCAGAAGGGAGGCGGTGACCCCCCCATCCTGTGCCACCCTTCCCCCCACAGCACCAAGGGACAAGGGGAAGAGACAGTGGGAGCCACAGGCACCATGCCTTTATACAATCCTGCTTTACTTACCCCTTTGTACAAAACCGTTTTCCCCCCCACTTTATTTTACAAAGTCGCCCACCCCCTGCCCTTGGGAAAGGCAGGGGGGGAGAAGGGACCCCACAACCAGGGAGCACCCGGCCACTCACCCACCCCACAGGCACCCCCACCACCACTGCAGGGGCATCGGGGTGGGTGGCAGCAGAGGGGAGAGCCCCAACAGGGCAAACACTCCCTCCCGAGCCGTGGGGAGCCCAGGGAAGGGGGGTGGGGGGGGCTTTAGCCCCATGGTTATGGTCTGGCATCAAATCCCGCTGCCTCCGGTACATCCTGCCTGCAGCTCCCAACCTCGGTCCCTGTCCTGCGACAGTTACTGCCACGGAGGAATAATAAATAGGCTCAGTGAGTAGGTAAATTCGGTACTAGATATAGGGCTACACTGGATATATCCTCACTAGATAAAGAGGAGGGGGGTGAGGGGTCCCCCCGGCTCCTTGCGTGTCCCCCCTGCACCAGGCATGAGCGCTTGGAGTCTGGGTCTGCCCATCCAGTGCAGGGCAGGCAGGAGGGTGGGGGCCACAGGAGGGACCCTGGGGACAGGGGTTAAGGGGCTTGAGGACAGGGAGAAGGGCCCAAGGGGCAGCTCAGCCCCCCCAGCCCTGGGGAGGGAGCTCAAGTGGCTCAGCCACCCCCTGCCAGGGCTCCCACCACTTGTGGTGCCAGCACCCTGCTGGGGTGGGCACCCAGCATGGCCTGAAGGTGGCCCCTTTGGTCACCACACCTTGCCAAGCTCCTGCTAATGGCCCCCAGCTTCAAGCCCGCCCTGCACAGGCATCCCTGCACACAGGGACCGCGGTGGCCCCAGGGAGCCCCACCAGCCGCAGGGAGCCACGGCAGCCATCTCGCCCCCATCCCTCACCACAGAGCCCCCCTGCACCGGGCACCGCACTCCCCGCACACCCCCCATTAGCGTCCTTCAGCCCAGGTCCGTGCACAGCCCAGCTGAGCCCGGCTGCCCGGGTTGTGGACCCAGCGCCGCGCCGGCCCTACAAGTACGTGTCCTCACTCTCCCGGGAGCTCAGGCTCTCCTTGGACTGGTGATGGGGGGAGACCTGGGGGTGCAGCAGCTCCCGGGCCGAGCCAGGCACCCCATTGCCCTCAGCCCCGGGGCCATTGGCGGGGCTGGCCGGGCCCTTTTCTCTGCTCTTCTCCTTGCTCTTTCGGGCCTTGGGCACGGGGGCAGGCCCAGGGGGGACGATGATGGAGGGGACGGACTCCAGCGCCTTGCGGGTGGGGGGCTCGGCCTCGCTGATGGCTTTGGCGCCGTGCAGGCGCGGGGGGGACTTGCACTGCAGCTCCCCATGCGTCTCCCGCCACTTCTTCAGCTGGATGAGGTGCTCCCGTTCGATCTGACGCTCCGTCACCGGCAGCTCGATGACCTGGGGGGGGACAGACCTGTGCCATCAGCATCTCCCCCGACAGTGACAGTGCCACTTGCCCCAAGCTCAGCTCCCCCAGCCACTGGGCAGGGCGTGGGATACCCCCCAGGGCAGAGGCAACCCCAAATCCAAGCTTTTGGGGGAGTGTCCCTGTGCTGTGCCAGCTCTGCCCACCCAGGGGAGCCCAGTCCAGCAGCCGGGCAGCACTGGGCCCCCAGGACCTCACCTCCTGCACCAGGAAGGTCTCCTGCATGATCTTGGGGCTGAGGGCCCTCAGCCTCTCCATGGTCTCGTACTGGCCCTGGCAGGACTTGAGCTTGTCCGAGGAGCCCAGGGTGTGTTTGAGCAGCACGAGGCCCACCCGGAAGATGATCTTCACCCCTGCAAGGGGAGAGGTGAGGCAGGAGAGGGTAACACTGCTGCTCTGTCCCTCAGATGCTGCAGGGCAGCAGGTCCCGGTCCCACCAGCAGTCAGGACATGCCAGAGGGTGGATATGGGTCCACCCCAGGCACATGGCTGCCCCAAACCTGCCCTACCATGGGTCCCATGTGCCAGGCGCAGGCAAGCAGCCACGGCAGCGCCGTGGCCCCGAGCACCGTCCACATGGTCACCCTGGGAGGGAGAGGAGGATGGATGGTGGGGAGCTCCTACCTTCACAGAAGAACATGTCCCAGACACGCAGGACGGAGCTCCAGGGCAGCGTGCGGGAGAAGGCACACATGAACCACTCCGTCATGTAGAGGATGGGGTCGATCTTCTGCTTGCTCAGGTGCTTGTAGGCCACAGGTGAGACCTTGTGCAGCAGCGAGAAGAGGATCTGCCCGTCCAGCTGAATGGCCTCCTGCACGGATGGCACCGGGAGCCCCAGTGAGCGCCTTGACCCCAGCACAGGGATCGGCTCCCCCAGCCCACTGGCCCCAGGGGAGGAGCTGCCCACCCTCCAGACCTGGCTATGGGAGCGGAGACATGCCCCACGGATGCCGGCAACAAAGCTACACTGAGCCCCCCATCCCTGACTGCAGGCTGCTCTTGGGGGCCATGGCACAAGACTGAGATTGCAGGAGCATCCAGGATCTCCCCAAGCTCCCTTCTTCCTCCAGGGTGAGGAGCTAGGGGAGCTTTTGGCCCGGAGGTATCGCAGGTCCCTGCCACCACTGAAGGCGCTGGGGGCTCTTCACTCACCAGCTTCTCACTGTAGTAGCCGGGGAGGTACTTCTCACAGATCTGCACCAGGCACCAGAACGCTTGCTGCAAGCCAAGGGACAGCGGGTGAGCACCTGAGGGACACCCCTGCAGCCCCCACCCTGCTCCCAGGGACCAAGGGAGCGGGCAGGAGGCAGCAAGGACACCTGGGGCAAAGGAAACCTCTCTGCACCAGCCGAGCTTTGGGGGTAAATGGGTGCCACGAGCCCAGCACCCACCCCAAAGTGACCCACACCCTCCCACCGGTCCCAGCTACTGGGTCTCCCCGCCCTCCCAGCCGCCTGCTCATACCTCGGCCGGCATGTGCATGAGCAGGACGGCGGCGATGGGGGCCTGGGCCTGGCAGTAGCCCTCCTCTGGGCGGTACAGCGTGTATGCCTTCAGCACCCGAAACAGGTCCTGCTGCCTGCGGAGACACCCCAGAGAGGGAGAGGTGGAGAGAGGGCATGGACACAGCCCAGCAGCCTCCCCCACAGGCCAAATCGGCACTTGGCATTGCACGGTGACCCAGCACCACAGGCCGGCTGCTGGCCACCATGAGCCCAAGTCAGTCCCTGGCTGGGATCCTTCTTCCACAAAAACCCAGGGTTATGGGACACGGTAACGACGGCTCTGCTCCGGGAAGCTCTGCCCATGGAGGCCCCCATCCTGCCTGGATCCAAGAGGCAAGACAGGAAACTGACGATCTCCCAGGGTGCTGGTCCAGCCCGGTGGCTGCCAAGGAGCTGATGCACAGCAGCTCTACTTACCCATGGCCTCCACGCGAGACGAACATCTCATGGAAGGGGAACTGCCGATGGAGATCCCGCTCGATCACATCCAGCCACTTTGGGTCTCCTGGGAGGACATCCAGTTCCTGGGGAGGAGAAGGTTGGGGTGAGCAATGCCCCATACCAGCACGGTGCCAGCCCCGCTCCGACACGTGGGGCCTGCAGCGAGCCCAAGGGAGCTGGCAGAGTAGCCACGGGGCTGGAGCTGGCTCTGAGCCGAACAGGAGCCCCATCAGGTCATGGGTGAGCCCATGCTGGTGGGACGCTAGTCCCCTTGAGCCCCCCGCAGCACGAACGAGCCTAAGGGACACCCCAGCCCTGGAGGGAGCAGGAGCCATCCCAGCCCTACCCCCCTCCACCAGCAACCCCCCCCCAGGGAAGGTCCCCGGCTGCACTCACGTCAAACTTGCCGATGCTCTGCTCAAGCTTGACCTTGCTCCCAGAGAGGTACTGCCAGGCTCGGCCCCGCAGCGAGGGTGGGATCCCTTTCTGGCACCGCAGCCGGATCTGGGGGGAGCAACATGGCCATCACAGGGGGGGATGACAGAGTGTCAGGGAGCAAAGAGGCCCCTGGGGCAAGACGGGAGCCAGGCCCAGCACGGCAGTCGCAGGCTGGTCCCCTGCTTCCTCCCTGTATGGGGGGGGCGGGGGGAAACATGTCCCTGTGCCCCGGGGGACAGGGTGCCCAGCCGCGTGTCGTGACAGTGGCTAGCATCGCCCAGACCTATGGGACAGCATGGGGAGCTGCAGCCAGAGACCATGAGGCTCTCCAGTCTGCTCACCCCCTTCTCCCCAGCACTGCTCTTAATGCGCCAGCCAGGGCTACAGCAGCACGAGGGAGCTGCAGATGGGTGCCAGGAGCCCGGCCGAGGCTTTGCAGCTTGCAAACAGCTCCAAACAAGCCTGTGTCTGCCTCAAAGCAGGATCCTGCTGGGAGCTGGAAAAGCAACTGCCGGAGCCAAGCTGGGGAGAGGGTGGCTCCCTCCCCACAGGAAGCACCAGGGAGGCGGGGGGGGGGGCTCCCTGGCCCCCAGCCCTGCCCTCCTGCTCACCCACGGGGCCTGGAGAGCAGGAAGGTGCACCCTGGAGAGGATCCCAACCTTCCCTCCCACTCATCCCAGGCAGGAGGGCAGGCCAGACCCCAGCTCCACACACAGCCAGCTCCCAGGGCTCTTGAGGCCAGCTCCATACCCATGCTCGGCCCCCGATTTCCTTGGCACAAGGCACTGGCCAGGACCAAAGTCCATGCGACGCAGTGTCTGTACTTACCTCACAGCAGGGAGCTGAGCCGGCTTAACCCTGCCACTGCCAGCACCCCAGCAGGGACCAACACCAGAGACCCCCAACCCATCCCGCTCTAGCTCCCGGGAAAGCAGCAGCCCACCTCCCCGCCAGTCCTCGGCCAGGGCACGCAGCAATGTGCGGCCCCAAGAGACCAGTGCTTTCAGCACAGTGACCCCCCACAAAACCCTGCCAAACTCCAGCACAGCCTCCACGTCTCACATCCCCACTCAGGTGGCAGACGCCAAGGGCGGGAGATGTGCCAGGGCTCTGCGAGCTGCGGCCGACAGCTCCCAAAGCCTCCCTGGGCCTCTCCTGCCCACTTGGGGCTCCTTTTCCCTGTTTGCCGGCGTAACTGGGGAGCGGGCAGTTGTGCTTCCAAGCAGCCCAGCCAAGTGTGGTGGCAGCGCCATGTCCCCAGGGGGGTTTGCTGCTCCCTGGTCGCAGCCCTGCTTGTTTACCCGGGCAGGTCCCCAGCCCTGAGGGGCCTTTGTACTCACAGGAAACATGGCAGGAGATGCCCAGGGCAACCGCGGGCAGCTCTGCCGCTGGT